GAGAGAGAGAGAGAGAGAGAGAGAGAGAGAGAGAGAGAGAGAGAGAGAGAGAGAGAGAGAGAAAAGGGGTTCTAAGTTATGCAGATCTGAGAGGTGCTTAACACTCATGCCCAAGGGGATCTTGGGAGCCCCTCACTTGTGGGTTCCTCCTCTCTGCCTGTTAAACATGCTCTGTTCATCCAGTACCCACGTTGGGCAGCCCACCTTTGTTCTTTCTTTTCCTTAACCACCAACTTTTGCAAAGAGTGGTCAGAAATTGACATTTCTGCCAATTCTGTTTCTCACTCTTCTGCTAATTAACAAAAATGTGGGCTTCTCAACTTTTGCTTTCCCTGAACCTTGGTGATGGCGCTTAACAGTATCTCTCCAGGGGGTTACCATTGAGCCAGGTATGGTGGTTTATTCCTCTAATCCCAGCAACTTGGAAGGTTGAGGCAGAAGGATCACAAATTTAAGGGTAGCTTCAGCAACTTAGCAAGACTTTGTCTCAAAATAAAAATAAAGGGCTAGAGATGTAACTCAGTAGTAGAGCACTTGCCTAGCATGTGCAAGGCCTTGAGTTAAATCCCCAATTTTTTTTGGAGCAACCCCCCCCAAAAAAAAAGTGTCACCACTGAGCTTAACAAATCCACTGCCCCTTCTCTCACCTCATGAATATCTGTACTCGTTTTCAATGCTATTGCAAGTGTCAGTAGAACCTTGAGTTTGAAGAGCATAGGGTCACAGAGACTGATGGTTTCCTCTTCTGTAAACTGAAAATAACAATAGAATCAACTTCAAAAGGTTTTTAGATTTTTGACATACTGAGCAATGATATTAAACAATATCTTCACTTTGTGGCTCTGTATCTAACTGCTCTGTGTGACCATCACTGGTTCCCAGAGAGGGTAGTTAGTATCCCTACCAAAAAAGAGTGTCCTTTGAGTGAAATGCTCTTGCCAAACACCACATGCATGTGCTCCTCCCCCATTTTGGAAATTCCTGTTCCATGCTACCATAGTAAGTGTTTTCAGTAAACACACATGCCTAACTGATTATTCTAGGGATGCCTGAGCTCACCTAGTCACAGAACCCTTTTTTTTTCACGCCACTTTTGCATCTCACGAAATTGGCACTTTGTAGAACAGAGTTTGGGAAGTACTTCTCATGGTACGGCATGGTTGGTGGTGTCCTTTTTGACAGGCAGCAATGAGTGCCAAAGCTCCTAGATGCTGCCGATAAGGGTACAACCTGCTGACTGAACATTAGCTGCAGGCTGGATAACTGGGGGGTGGAAGTGTGTCTTACTATAATTCTGAGTTCTTAAGCAGGGTGCAGGGAAATCACCTTCCTAATACCTTCCTGGAAGACTATGAACCCATCCCAAGACTTCTGTAGAAGCCAGCAAAGACTCTGGTGTGGGTTCTGCTTATTTTCACCTCCTTTTCTCTTTAAGGCAGAAGAAGGAGTGTATGGGAGAAGAAAACAAATTCTTTTCTTCTTTCCCACCTGTATACTACCCAAAACATATATGCTTTGACATATATGCTTCCAATAGCAGCCAGCTGTTTGAAACCAAGATGTCCCCAAGAGGCTGTACATGTGGCCTTGCGGGTTGTTACCTAAACAGTTCCAAGTGATACTGTGCATATGGACAGCAGTCAGTTCCTACATCTTCGGGTACACACCCTTCCTTTGCCATTCTACTAAAGACTGCTGGAGCCCCACGTGCCTATGACCTCAAAACTCTTGAGGATTGTGGGAGAGGCTTTCATTTTTCCTGGATTTCTCCCTTTTCTAGTTTCTTGATTTCATCATCTCACTCATGTCATGTATTTGTTCTTTTCTCTCCTTCCCACCTGAGTTCAAATGTGGAACTTAGATGTTTGCCCTTGATTTTCCCCAAACAAAGGTCCTTGGTAGATT